CACTTGCCTGAATTTCCTATTCCACATTGGTCAGAATGTGATCGGAAAAAGGGCTTGTCTCTCAGAAGCATCGGGTAGGGATTTGAAGTGGGTCTCCACTTTTCGGGTTTGAAAAGAGAGGTACAGAACCTGAAGATCTCATCCATGACGTCTTGACTAGGAAGCTCCTTGAGGATAGCATGGGGGACCCAGCTGTGTTCCTTTGGGGCCCCTCCCGAATTGTGAGGAGGACAGGACAAAGGTTGAAGGATGAAAAAAAGAGTGTTGCCATGGTGCAGCAGCTGCTCTTAAGGATGCAAACCCTGCTACCTGGCCCGGCCTTAGACTAGTCACAACTGCACAGAGATGTGTTGTTAGCTGCTGGTGGATGTACAGAAAATGTAAGGACAATTATACACAGTCCTCTTCACTATCATTCCTTTACAGTTGACTGACCCCGGTGCTTTTGTTGACTTTTGTCCCACTGGGACCTTTCTATCCTTAAGTGGCCAGTGTTAGTGTAGATTGTGGATGGGTACGCATTTTGTTAAGAGTGTGCGCCAGTATCTTCCTTTCTGCTAGTGAGTAAAAAGAGAGAGGGTACCAGCAAAACTCTGCATTGTCAGCGATGTGAGCCACAGCTTTGCCAACTTAGCAGTAAGTTTTCAAAGACTAGGAGAATATTTCCCCAATTTTTGGAGGATTAGCTACAAATACATTTTGAAACTTATCCAGCAGTATTTATATTTCTTTATCACTTAAAAAAAATTCTAGCTGGGAGGTAGTGGCATACACCTTTAATCTCAATGTTCCAGAGGAAGAGCAGAGGCAAATGGATCTCTGTGAGTTAGAGGCCAGCCTGGTCAACAAATTGAGTTCCTGGACAGCAGAGCTGTAACACAGAGAAACCCTGTCTTGAAAAACCAAACCAAACCAAACCAAAATCCTAGCTCAGAAATAAATAAACTATGGTCTGGGGGCCAGATCTGTCCCTCCCCCAGCACCTGTTTTTGTAAATATTTATCAGGATCATGCTCATTTGTTTTGCTTGTGGACTGGAGCTGTTTTTGTGTTAACCATGGCAGAACTGAATGGGAAGGATAGAAAGAGGGCATCATCCAGGTGCAAACTCCAAAATAGCGCCCAACCCCTTATTGGTTAAGATTTGCCAATCTCGGACCTGCTGGCATTTTTGTAAGGCACCCACCTAAAGGGGCTCGTCAGATTGAATACCCAATAACAAGCAGGGGTGAGGGGTAGCGGTGTCTTTAGAATTCTTATCCCCCCCCTACAAAGTTTCTTCAAAGTAAACCCAGCCCACCCTTGCAATTGATGCTCCTCATTTCTCCTGAAAAGCTTTCTCCTTCCCTCTTGTTTTAGTTTCTCCCTCCTTAGACCTCTGCACTGGCTGAGGTGGGGCCGAACACACGCGGGAGAGGGAGTAAGACTTCCCGGGTTGTTTGTACCAATCTGGAACCATCAGCTTCTGACTCCCGTGAACTTGGCTGGTACCCGAGCACACCCGGTGCCTCGTCAGGATCAGGAGTTCCGGGTTCCTGCTTGGCTCTGCTGCCTGGCACCACAGAGGGAGGGGAGGGGTAGAGCAGCCGATGTGAAGATGTCCTGGTCATTGGGAAATTGCACCTAGGAGAGAAGGCCAGACTGGAGGGCACACCTCTAGATAGGTCTGTGCTGGAGTTGGGGCGCGGAGAGAGGTGGTGAGAAGCCCCTGGGCTCGCGGGAAGTCCTTGACAAGGCAGGAAATAGTGGGGTTAGGCTCTGAACAGGCGCAGTAGACGAATGAACCAGGCTGAGGTAAAAGGTGTTGTGAAGATCCCCCACATGTCTCCCATGCTCCAGTTCTTGCCTCATTACTAGGTTATCGCGTGAACAGAATCCATGTTCTTAGCCCTGACATTTTTAGTGTGGGGGTCAGAAGGTAGCAAGAAGAATAGGGCAGCACAGTGGTGCCCAGATCACAGTGCAACATAGGAAGCTCCTGAAGGGTTTGAACAAGGTCATGGTTTGCTCTGGCTGCCACGCTGGGGACCAGGTCAGAGGCTACTGTCATAGTTCGGGGCAGGTAGTTAGGAAGAAGCATGTTCTAAATCTGCCACGGAAGCAGACACGCTTCTCAGCTAGGCTGGCCTTGGGTGGAAAGAGGGAAGAACACGGGAATGAATACGGAGGTTTTGGCTATAAAAGGAGGGGAGTGGAAATGGTAGGCAGTCATGAGTTTGGATGTGGACTTGCTAGTTGTTAGGGTGCTGATACTGAGTAGAAGCTGGCTGAGTGTGGTGTACAAGGGAGGAGGTGGGCTGTGGGTTTCAGCTTGGGAATCATCAGCCTAGAGATGACATTCAGAGGCACAAAGCAGAATTATCCCTTCCCAGAGGGAGGGGGACTGGAAGAGTTGTGTGTGAGAGGAGGGGTCAGAAGGGGAGAGCCTGTGTTTATAAAAATAAGAGAACACGAGAATTCTCCTTATCAGGGCATTTACCAAAGCTCTGCCTGGAAGAGGTTGAGAGAACAAGTCCACAATCTGATGGAGCTGGGCTGGTGGCCTCTGTGTGCTGGAGAACCCTGCTGCATCACCCCCCCCCACAAAAAAAAAAAAAACAAAACAAAACAAAAATGAGGACCAGAACCATAGGGCTTCCTGACATACCGTGCGGTCAGGCAAACAGCCAAGGGATGGGGCGACCCCCGGGAGACTGGGGATTGCTACTGAAGGTTCCAGGCAGGACTAACTAGGGGGTGTGACTCTCTGGCCGCTCCCCTAGGGGAGAAGCCATGGAGTTTCCTCAGAAGCACTTGGCACATCATCTGAACCACAAGAGAATTCAGTCCTGCCATCGATAGCTGTGTGACTTCAGGAAAGTTGCTCAACTTCTCCCTGCCTCTATTTCCCCATCGCTAATGACTAATAATTCCGACCAGGGGTATTTGTAAAGATTAAAGAATTTTAAATACATTAAAGCGTGTAGTGAGCTGCGAAGTGACGTGCAAATCCAAGAGGCGGAACCGACAGTGCCTGGGATCCCTGGCTCCATTTACACAAGAATAGATCGGCACACTTTGCATAAGTGGTGGGGGTTTCTTACTTCTATGAGATCCCCAATCCCAAACACTGGGGGAAAAGCTAGGGTTAGGAGTTGAGAGAAAGGGAAGTAGGGGGGCGGTGGGCATCTGATCAAAGCACTTTACATACAAGTATGAAGACGTCCTGATGAAATCCATTATTTTGTACAATAAATTAGGCTAAAGGAAAAAAAAAGATAAAATCAAATTTTTAGAAAAAAAAAAAACCCTCAGAAAAGGTCTTCCATTATTTGTTTGAGAAGTAAAGCACAAGCCTCTGCTCCTGGGCTGGGAACGTGAAAAAAGAAATTTCACTTCTCCAATCAATGACTGCCCTCTCCCTCAGGTTCCTTATCTGCCTCCTCCTTATCTCGGGGAAACCTTTAGCCTGTTGCCAGGCGAGATCTCTGATCTTTCTCTTCTGCCTCCCGTGAAGCTGATAAAAAGCAGGAGAGAGCGCACAGGATGAAAGTAATCCAAGTCCTGCCGGCCTCGGTCGCTGGAGCGTGTAAGGCTAGACTAGAGGATGGGGTGCCCCTGCTGGGGGTGGGGAGAGCTGCAGAGGGCCCAGCTGAAGCAAGACAGGCTCAGCGGGCCTGCCTGTTCTAGGCTTGACGGTCCCGAGCCATCTCTGCTATTGGTAGAACGGGTGAATTGGAGTCTAGCTTTAGGGCCCCTTGGGAAATCTGTAACTTTGCTTGGGCTGCAGTCGGGTTATTTCTATATGGGGCCACTAGATGGCGATGTCTCCCTAACCCTAAAGCAAGTTTTTGCGTTGGAGAAATGCCAAGTTTTAACACACACACACACACACACACACACACACACACACACACACACACACACACACACCCCTCTCCCCCAATGTGCAAAAGAATATCCAAAATGGGGGAAACAAAGGAGTTTCTTTCTGAATATGGTGGGGGTACCTTAGTGATGCAGACAGACAGGACCACTGCTTGAAGGAGGTCTCTCTGTGAGGACTGGGGGCTCCGCTTGGGATGCTGCCTTCAATGGTCACACGCAGTGGTGATAGGGAGAAATGGGAACTGCAGAGTGGTGGAGACGGTCCCTAGATGTGAACCCTGCTAAACTCTGTGCCCTTCAAGTGCTTCCTGGACTGGCAGAAATAGGCCTTGCAGAGATGCATGCCCAGTACCGGCTGCTAAGATTGTCCTGGCAGAACCAAGTACCTCCCTTGCAGGCCAAAGACGCAGAAAGAGCGACAGGAGTCTTTTCATGGAGGTGGGGAAACTGAGGTCAGAGCAAGGCAGCTCTCTGGATTCAGTCTTCTTGCTAAGTTCCTTTGTGTATAAACAATTCAGATGGCTTTCAATGCTCCTTTCCAATGCCTGATGGTGTGTGCTGAGCTACAACACCTTCTACGCCTCCTGGCTCGGCCCGCCAGGCCCGGCGTCTGTGTATACCACAGCGCGTTGCACTGTGTGAGGCTCGGCAGCAGATGAAGTTGTTCAAAGCCACCCAGTGGCTGATTCATGCAGCAGAGAAAAGTCATTTAAAGTAATTGCGTACTAACTTTGCCACATAGATCTCACAGTAGGTGTTTTGAAGGTTAATAACGATGACAATAGTAAGCATTTGTTTAGCATTTCTTACGGACCTGTCTCTGTTTTAATCAAGGTACATAATCAATAGTGTGGATTAGGTATTGCTGTCTTTTTTTTTTTTTTTTTTTTTTTTGACACAGGAACTGTCTATGTCGCCCAGGCTGGCCTAGGACCCAGGGAAATCCCTCCTGCCTCAGTTTTGTAACTGTTGACACATCTGGTTCAGTTGTTACCACATCGGCTTGGCTTTGCAGAGCCAATGGGGAGGGTAAATCAGAGAAGGCAAATAACTGGCCTAAAGTCACACAGTTGAGGCACAGAGCCAACTTCACACCCTGCTCTGCCTGGCATCGGAGCAGAACGTGTCGCATGCCCGCTGTGACAGACTCTTTTAACACTTTCTCCCACCTGCAGGATCTGACGTAGGAACTTGTCAGAGTTTCGGACTTCAGCACGAGTCAGCGTTCTACCGTCCTGTTGTGACACAGTGGCACAGGGTTGGCAAGCAGGCTCAGGGCCTGGAGACTTGGTGGCATCCAGGTCACACCTACAGGGCACTCGGAATGCGTGGGATGAGAGAGGTACCTAAAGATAAAGGCCAACACCAGTTGACACTGCCGGACCTGTATCTTTTTGGGGGCAAGAACATATCATGGGGGCAAACAGATATATCTGGGGACCAAGGGCACAGTAATACAAAGATGGCATCCAGCGTACAAAGGGCCTATCCGTACTGGGCTCCGAAGGTCATATTTTATGTGTCTCCCTTCTACAGAGGGAGTTAACAAGTTAGAACAAGGACTGATTACTCCGTCCTCATCTTGCGGGAGACAGTGTCTCAAATGCAGAAATGGATGCTGTGGGCTAGGGACGTAGTCAGTGGAAGAGTTCTTGGGTAGCATGTGTGAAGATCTGGGGTGCCTTGCCACTGAAAACAAAAGCAGAAATAAGGGACACAGAAGCCAGAGTGAAAACAGGCTTCAAAAATCCAGGTTCCTGTTTTACCACAGAGGGGGTTGAGATTGAAATGGAAGTGTCTTAAGCTATAGACGAATAGCCGTCCAGGTTCCTGTTTTACCATAGAGCGGGTTGAGACCGAAATGGAAGTGTCTTAAGCTATAGATGAATAGTCATCTTTCCCAGTTCCACAGTTACTGGCACAGAAGTAGCAATGAAGATTTCCAGTCTGACAGACTGGATTCCCAGGTCCACATCACCTTCTTTTAACTTACAACCCTTGGGCAAACTGTTTAGCTTCTACTGAGTCTCAGTTTCCTCATATTTAAAAAAGGGAAAGTCCAGCATCTGCCCCAAGGTTGCTGAGAGCATTCGATATATGATGTAAGTATAGTACCTGGCCGGCTGCACTCGCCGCTGTGCTGTGTTTAATAAGCAGCAATGGTGACGATGACGATGGTGGCTGTACAGGCTCACTGCACCCTTGAAAGCTTGCTGTACAAGCCCGACAACCTGAAGTCAGTCCCCAGGTTTGCATTCATGGGAAGGTAGAAAAACATTTACAGAAATGTCCTCAGTCCTCCACACTTGTGACAAGGTACACGCACCCTTACCCCATCATGTATGTGTGTGACATACACACACACACACACACACACACTAATAAAAAATATAGTTTTTAAAAGGGACCAGAAATAGAAGAGAATAAAAGGAGGAAAGTCCCTAAGGACATCTAAGAAGAAAAACTATGACCCTATGATGGAGTTAAAAAGACAAGTGTGACTTCCTTGATGATATGCTAGCACCAGAGAAGAGAAGGCCTTGGGAAAGGTCATAGTGAAGACTCAATCCTACCTCCGTATGCCTGCCACACAGTCGGAAGTTCCCCCAGGTAAGAAGGGCCAGGGACCGTCTCACTGTCCATCTCTATGTTTGGGTTATCTGTTCTAGGTAATAAACACCAATAAAAGTTGAAGACTCATTTTCTTCTTCTGTGCTATTACAGAAGAGCCTCTTCCATTGTAGAAGACAAGGCAAAAACAGACCAAGCAAAATTAGGAAGAGAAGTCCAGCCTGTAACCCAAACATCTACATCCAATTGCCATTACTATGTCTGCCTTCCCATTTGCCATTGCCCTTTATCAAAATGTTTTCCGACTGTTAAATATAATGTTAGGTATAACGCTCTTTTTCCTTTATAGATAATGTTTTTTCATTTCTCATTGAGACAATTTGTTTTGGAGTCATGAAGAATTCGCCCATATCTCTTTAGAAATGTGTACATTAGGAATTCCCCTCAGCGCTGACTCTGTGTATGGCACATAGAAGGGGCAGATTCTCTTTCCCTTTGAAGTAGATATCCAGGGGTACCCAAGCCATGTTCTCTCTACCATTCTTCACTTTGACTTTTTCTTGAAAAAGAGAAGAGGTGCCCACACATAGGTGGATCTCTTACTGTTGCTGCTGTGACCCAGCATTCTGCCTGCATATCCTTTATAAAGGAAGAGACTATGTTTTTCTGGGGGTACGTTTTGGATAGAAGAACTACTTTCCCCTTTGGTAGGTCCCAGGAGATGCGCCGTGTTACACGTCCTTCCCAAGGTGGCGTCAGTGCTGATGGGAGAGCTCCCCGTCCAGACTCCAGACTGGAAATGGTCCACAGGCTTCACTGACTCACCGGGAAAACATTATCCATCATTCCCTTCCTCTTACAGTTCATCTGTCACAGCCAGTCAGGGAGCTCCACCCATCTGCACAGGGTAGGGATGTGCTTTCTGCCATGTGCCTGGAAGGGGAGGATGCCCAGCCACTGGAAAACACGGGTGACGTCGTCTCCACTTATCTATCCTTGAATGAAAATGACAGTCTTAATCACTCCAGCTCAATAGCAAGACTCCATAGCTGGTAGATCCAGTCCTCCAGCTCTGCTTCTCCTTCTGAAAGGTCCTGGCTTCTCTTGAGTCTTGGTAACTCTAAGTGAATATAACAAAGTAATTATGTTCTCTCAATGCCTTGTTGGGAGGTGGGAAATAGATTGGTCTCAGCCAGTGAAGTGCTTGCCATACAAGCATCAGGAACTGAGTTCCAGCACCCATGTGAACATCTGGGCATGATGGTCTTCTTAGCACTAGGAAAGCAGAGACAGGGAGCTCCTGCTGGTTTGCTGGCTGGCAAGTCCAGCCAGTTGGTGACTTTTCCAGGTTCAGTGGGAGACTGTCTCAAAAGAATACATACAAATCAGTAACGTTATGCAGAATGTGTGGGTTGTTTTAATGTATTTAGGAACACACACACATATCACAACAATAAAAGAAAAAAATAGGTCATGAATTGGAAAGCCAGCAAGGAGGAGTATATGGGAGGTTTAGAGGGAGGAAAGGGAAGGCAAATGATTTAATGACACCAAAATCTCAAAAAATAAAAAAGTGAAAAATGAAAGAATTATAAGGTAAAGAGAGATCAAGGAAGATACCCAACATTAACCTGTGGCCTCCACACTCACACACACCTTGTGGAAACACACATGTCTTGTTGGAGTTTTTATTGGGTATGTAGCTCCACCGAGAGGGAATTAACATTTGAAACAGGGAGTGTTCTAATCCATCGGCTTGAATTTTCTTTTCTTTTCTTTTTTTTTCTTTTCTGAGACATGATTTTTCTGTGTAGCCTTGACTGTCCTGGGAATTTTCACCTTTTGGTCTGATCTTTTTTACTTTATTTCAAAAACATCCTATGTTTTGTACAGGAGTCTTGCATACATCTTGTTAAAACTTTCCTTTCTGTTTCTTACATTTAAAAAATGTTACCACAAATGGTATTCTTGCATGTTTTGCTACTTTACAAATGTTTGTGGTTGGTATATAGACATTCAGTTCATTTTTCTGTATCGACTTCACATCTAGAAACATTGTGAGGACTATTTTACACACACACACACACTATGTATATATGTTCATGTGTGGCATGTCTGTGCACACACACGTGACTCATGTCTGGAGGTCAGAGAACAACTCGTAAGAATTGGTTCTTTCTTTACACCATGTGGGTTCTGGTGAAGTCAGTTCATCAGGCTTGACAGCAAATCCCTTTACCTACCCAGCCATCCTGCCTGCCCGTGTGAAGCTCCTCCATGTTAGAAAAATCATCTACGCTTCCCATCTATTTTGATGTGGATTAGAGTGCAACCCCTCCATCCGCCGACATCGCCACACCCACAGGTGACCCCTCCATCCGCTGACAGCTCCACACCCACAGGTGACCCCTCCATCCGCTGACATCGCCACACCCACAGGTGACCCCTCCATCCGCTGACATCGCCACACCCACAGGCTTAGCTCCAGACCCGTGGCCCGAGAATGGACTATTAGAAAGCCCTCTCTGCCTGAAGGGTGTAGCTCTCACCGCTCATCAAAGAAACTTTCTTCTTCAGCATACAGAAACCAGCTCAGAAAACCACAGCTGGTTCTTTGTGGTCCAAATGCAGAAAACAAATGATTGTGGGGTGCCCGACCCAAGTGGATATATCTGCAACATAACTCATGCACCCAAGACTCAGGAAACTTTGTGGGAAGTGGGGCAGAAAGATGGCGAGAGCCAGAGGACTAGAATGACTGCTGTGAGATTTAGTCTCTTAAACTTAACAGGAAAGTTTCACCCATGGTACCCCAACCATATGGCTGCCTGAATAAAACCCAAACGATGACAGCATGAACAGGTATGCTCCCATGGAAGGGGACATCTCGGGGGGCTACACCCAGAACCAAGAACTAGAGGTAACTAACAACTGCTAATAGAGGGAGAGATAGTCTTGGCCAGGGATGAGCCCCGATTACGGTTGTCAATACAAAGTGGCCATCCCTGAGATCATATGCATACAAAGAAGACTAAACTGACTAAACAGGTTGTAGTTATGTACTTACGTGTTCACATGCCATAATAATCATCATCAAAGTAAAAGAGGCGATGAATTCGAGAGGGAGTAATGGGGAGAAACGGGAAGGGGTGGAGGGGGCAGGGCACAGGAATAGCTGGAAGGAGGAAAAGGCATAGAGGAATGATATAATTCTACTTTTAAAATGTTTTAAAATTATTGAGAGAAATACAACCCACAAATAAAAACGATTCTCACGTATTGTTTTTCTTTCTTTTAGTGAGTATGTATGTGTGGAAGTATAGGTGTGCAGGTGAAAACACATGTGCACAGCTGGAGACTAAAGGAAGACACGGCATGTCCTGTTCTGTTGCTCGCCATCTTAGTGCATGAGACACGGTCTCTCAGTAAACCCGAGCTAGCTGGCGGCCGGCTAACTCTCCCTGTCCCCACTCCTCACAATGCTGGAGTAAGCAGTGCTTGTGGCCATGCCCTGCCCTCTTTCTCTTTTTCTTTTTAATGTAGGGGATGGGGATACAAACTCGGGTCCTCAGGTTTGTACAGCAAGCCTTCTTTCCCGCCAAGAAGTCTCCCCAGCCTCCCTTATGTCTTTATTGCTTTTTCTTGTCTAACCCCACAGATGCTGCTGAGTAGACCTTGAGAATCCTTGTTCTGTTCAGAACCTCAGAGGGAACATTTTTGAAGTTTCTCCTTTGAATTCAATGTTAAGTATTTCACTGTGGATGCTGTTAGCAGATAATTAATGCCTCGTCTTTTTCCTAATTTCCAAGATTTTGCATACTAAACAGATGTTGAATTTTAGCAAGGGTCATTTTTTTTCTACATATATTGAGCTGACTATTTATGCTCTTAGTCTCACCATAAGATATGTTCTGATAAATCCTTTGTAACACAAATGGGAAATAACACAAGTCCAAAATGTGTTTGGTACACTGAGCCTACTGAGAGTTGTGGCTCAACGGCATAGTATCTTGAGGGCTGTCAGCTGCTCCCCGAGAACTGAGGCTCACAGCTGCTCCAGACTCTCCGGGGTTTTGCTGATTGCCAATAATCCAGGAAAGGTCAAAATTCAACATTAAAAGTACAGCTTCTGCTAGCTATGTGTTGCCTTTACACCATCTAACAGTCGAGAAACAGGAGTTCAGGGATATGTGTTTTCTTGCTGCTGCTCTGTTAAGTGGAAGCTGACCCTGATTCCCAAGAACAGGACATGTATATAGCACACACCCTAGCATCCTGGAAGGAGTCAAATTTGTGCGTTTTTCCTTTGCACGTTGCTGGAGTTGGCTTATATACTTTGCTCAGCCGTTGACACCTATGTTCTCACGTAAAGCTGGCCAAGAGTTTTTTTCCTTGCTGGCTTGCCGCACTGATAGTACTCTAGTTTCACAAAGCAAACGAGGCAGTGCACCCACCTTTTCTACTTTCTGGAAGATGTTGTACAAAGTTGTACATTAAATCTTTAAATGTTTAATAATAACTGCTTGAACTTAGCAGTGGCTGACAAGTTTATTTTAAATTAAAAAATTGCATATTTTCCAGTTTTTTTCTTGTGCTAATCCTGGTAAGTAATGTTTCCTTAGGGTTTATTTTCATCTACATTTTGAAGTTTATTGCCAAATTCTTTTCTGATTTCCTCCCCATGTTTTGCAAATGTCTCCAGCAAAGGACTGTTGTCACTTCTCCTGCTGATAGTAATATCTGGGTCTTTCCCTTTTGTGGTCTTGCTCCATCTCAACTGATTTTTAGCTTTATTAGGCATTACATTTGTTTATCTTATTTATTTACTTATTTATGAGGGATACACCGAGTACATAGGCGAAGATCAAAGCACACCTTGCAGGATTTGGTTCTCTCCTTCCACTGCGTGGGCCAGGGATTGGATCAAGGTAGTGAGAGTCGGCAGCAAGTGCTTTGACTCAATGAACCATCTCAGCAGCCCCTTTATCATTTATTTAAAAGAACTAAAATTTGACTTTACAATCCTATTGCCTTTTTTTTCTTTCAGTATTGTTGCTAAAATTCTTTCCCTAGGGGAGACCTAAATACTGACCATTCCTCCTCCAGCTACTGACCAAGCTGCGCCACCGTCCATCCTGGAAAACCAATGGGTTCATTAGGGTTCCTTACAGAGAATGGGTGAGGTGGTACAGGCAGGAGCGTGGGCAGCCTTGGAGCAGCCACTGGGAGGTCTGCGTCCAGAATGGACAACGACTGTGTGGTTGGAGTTGCCACACTCCTCACCAAGTCCTTCTTAGACCATTGAATTCCAGCCCCTCCCTGAGGCCATGTGCAATCAGGGCAGAACTACATACAACTGGCTGAGAGGAGTGGCTGGGCACTCGGGTGAGGCCCCATGATCCTCCCCACCCTCCTTCTATGGAGGATTGTCAACAGTCAGTGACATTTGCAAGCAGACACAGCTGAGTTCACAAAGGGGTGGCTGTTGGCCTTGGAGGACAGTCCTGTGCGGTGTTTCTTTTTCTCTTTTTTGAGTTTACCCCCATATTTGGACAAGACTGGTTTGCTGTTATTTTTTCCTAAATTCTTCTAGAGCTCTAAAAATGTGGAGTCTACCCGTTGTATCCGTCTCTTCTTTGTGTTTTCCGCCATTCTGTCTCTCTGCTTTGCTCTAGGTGGTTTTGGTTCCCTGGTTCTCTTTCTACCCATTTTGAATCTGTTATTGAACCTATCTGTTGAACACTTCATTTTGGCTCTTGGGACTTTAACTGTTAGGATTCGAGAATTGTTATTCCTGCTGTTGTGTGCTGGGGTCTCCTGCACACAGCGCCAATGATCTGCCTGGAGCTGTGTTCCCTGCTCTGGGTCTGGAACTTCTGTCCGGCTCCTTTAATTTACAGTTGTTTCCTCTCCGTTCATGAGTCACCATTTTCCTGAACTTTGTAAGCGTCTGGTCTCATAAACGGCTGTGAGGGGCAGTATGACTTTTGTAGTACTTATTCACACTTCCTTTATGACATTCCTTATTTTCTTATTTAGGTATTTTTTTTTTCTCCTTTGCTAGACAGCAGTTCAAGGTTCAACAGAAAAATAAGTTCTGTGTCTGGTCCATCTTTGTATTTGTCAAAGTTCTACCAAGATTATATGAAATATAAATGACAGATTTTACTTCTACGCCCACCTCTTCTCCTGAGACGTCGGTTTATTATGTGGCTCTGACTGGACCGGAACTCTCTGTGTAGACCGGCTGGTGCTCTGCTCACGGAGATCTGCTTGTCTCTGCTGGGATTAGACGCATGCTTCACCACACTGGGTCTCACTTACTTTTTGTATCCCAAGTTCAAGTCATCCGGGTGTCCATACTGTTCCCTAAGATAGAACACAGCTAGTCTCAGGTACTTTCCACTTGCTGTCCTCGGGTCTGGAACACACCTCACGGTACAAATGCCACCTGCTTTGGTCTTCCCTCTCCTTCAACAGCAGTGGTCCCTTTCCCCTCCGCCACTCCCTGCCTTCTCACAGTGAGATGGCAGGATATTGCCAGGGCTCCTGTCTGAATATTATCTGTCTTTGCTGCTAGGTTGTAATCTCCTCACTGAGATAAGGTATCCTGAGTTCTTTTCGCCAGAAAGTCTTCTTCCTTCACTTTGATCAGCTCCTAGAACACAACAGCCACCCAAGAAAGATCTCCCGAACCAAGTTTTGCATAGTTACTTTATGTAAAATTACTTTCTCCTTCAGACATTTAAAAACTTTAATAGCCGATTGTCTCTGTAAGTGAACTGAGGCTCAGAGAGGCTATTTAACACACCCAAGGCAACACATAAATGACTGAGGTGGGATTTGAACTCAGTTCTGAAGCTTCTGCAGCTAGCCAGGCTGTCCTTGAATACCTGGCAAATGCCTGTTGGAACATGCGTGTAAAATTAAGAGAGGCAGGTTGGGGTTTCCAACAACCTTGGGGAAGAAAAGAGAACCATGGAATTGTGAGCCCAGGCCCCTTCCACTGCAGTCTGCAGCCCTTTGTGAAGCCCCTTGTCCAGTCAGCACCACCCAAGAGGCCCCACCTGGCTCCTGACTCAGTCTTTTGTTAGCTTGGTGGGTTCAAACAGCAGTGTCAGCAGAACGGTGACCAGCTATGTGAAGCAATGCGTAAGACAAACAGAGAAGGCCGCTCTTGAGTGACGCAAGATCACACAGATGTCAGGCACGCCGTGCTTCTGCGCCCGCCCATTGGCGTTATTCGGTTTTCAAACATTTCTGATAAGGCAAACAGATGGGCAGCTTCCCTTAGGGCCTCTCTACGAGAATTGATAAGGCATCTGCTGCCTTAGGTTTTCTGACTGGCTTCTATTGCTCTGGGGCAAAGGCAGAAGCTGCTGAACCAATGCAGGGGCTGAAGAGCTCCTAAGAGCACTAGGGAAGACAGGGCACAATCAAGAGGTCTTTGTGTGCCAGGATCCCGTTCTGCTGGTTTCGGGGAGGGGGGCTAGCATACTCTTTCCCAACCTTCTCTGAAGCTTTAAGGATGCTTCATTTAAGAACAAACAGGAGGAAAACAGAGACCTCTGAGGAGCAGGATCAGTACCCCCTGCACACAGCTCAGGTCCCTGTAATCATTTGGTGGCAAAGAGGGCTTCCTTCTGGATGGGATGAGCGAAAGGAGCCCAAAGTTGGGGTGAAGTAGGCTGTAGGACATTGGTTAGAAGTTGGATCATAGCTGAATTAGTTATTTAATCAGTCTCAGATTTCTCCTGTGTCAAATGCGAATTACTAAGCACTCCACAGTTCTGCTGTGAAGAGCACGTGCAGCCACGAACCAGCAGAACACGGCAGGCACGTCGTGGGATGCTAGCCAGTCGGCAATACCTCCTCCTGGGTGTGGAAACCAGATGGTCTGTGCCTTTTGCCACAGCTTCTTAATCTGTGGGTCGTGGCACCATGTAAAGTTGTGCAACTGAACGAGAAGGTCGTGAATTTGCGACAGTAAAAGGGTTTCGAGTGCACGGGGACCAAAATTTACTGCGGTGTTCGATGTGCAGCACATCTGGGCTGTGCCTTGTAGTGCTCGCACATCTGGGCTGTGCCTTGTAGTGTTCGCACATCTGGGCT